TCTTCATTTAAAAAGTAGATCTACTGATGCTTACTTCACACATTATTATGAGCACAGTGCCCGGTTCAGAGCAGTGCTTCATAGAGGTTGTTGTTGTATGTGCCATGGAGTGGATTCTAACTCATAGTGATCCTGTAAAACAGAGTAGAATTGCCCCATGGGGTTTCTTAGGCTGTAATCATTACAGGAGCAGGTTGTCAGGTCCTTTCTCCCACAGAGTGGCTGGTGGGCTCAAACTGTTGACATTTTGATTAGCAGCCAAGCACTTAACCATTGTGCCACCACTTCTGTACCCATAGAGGTTACTTTACTTTAAAAATGTGCCTTATGTTACAGTTCTGAATCCCCTGAATTAACCTTCATTAATGGTGGCCCTTGAGGTCCTCTGATGGGGTAGTGGTTAAAGCATTTGGCTCTAATGCCTCAGTTACTTAACTATACAAAAAGGAAATTACCATACCTACCTTATTAATAGGTGCTCTGGTAGCATAGTGCCTAAGACATGTGACTGCTAACCAGAAGGCTGGCGGTTCGAATCCACCAGCCACTCTTTGGATGGAAGGTTGGGCAATCTACTTCCACAAGATCTAAAGTTATTACTTGTTCTGTGCCAGACACCATAATAAAGGTTTTAGATGGATCATCTAATTTAATCCTCATAATTCTGTTACTTAGAAATTCTTTTTGGACCCATTTTGTAGCTGAATAAACTGAGGCTAGTAGATGGAAGAGCCTGGTCCCTACAGACTCTCAGCCATTGTAATCACCATATTATATTACTTCGCTGTAGGGTTTTTGAGTGGCCTCTTGGAATAATGGGAGTTCTGGTAGCGTAGTGCCTAAGGCATTTGACTGCTAACCAGAAGGCTGGTGGTTCAAACCCACCAGCCACTCCTCAGAAGGAAGGTTTGGCAGTCTACTTCAGTAGTGATACCACCTCAGAAACCCAAGGAGGGGTCGCTGAGTCTGGTTCGACTCAATAGCAGTGAGTTTGGTTTGGTTACTTTGAAATAATATATAGACAGACTTAGCACAGTGCCTAGTCCATTGAAAGAGATAATCTTTATCCTTTGTCCACCCCTGTCTTTCTCTTTGTCTCGTCTTAACCCTCCAAAAGCCACATTGGGCAAACACACTAGGCCAAACACACACTCAGGGGAGAATCTTATCTTGGGTTGTCTGAGGCAGGAGCACTGGCTTGAGGACTGGAAGGAGCAGGTTCCTATCCAGGCTGTGCCACCAATAGCATCATCAGCTGACTCTTGGGAAGTCACGACTCTTTTAGACAAGAGGCCTAAGGCTCCATCTGGCTCTTGAGATCCTGTGTGATGGGACCTCTTTACCTTAATCGGTAGCTTGTGGTTTGGAACAATGGAGAAAAAGTATAGAGAATAGAGCTGAAGAAGGAGACACTGTGGGGAGTAGAAGGAGACAGGGTTCACGTTATCTGCCTTCTTTTCCTGGCTGTCTCATGTGCTAGCTATAGGAGGGAAGAGATCTAGCCTCTCTCAGCTTCGGTCTTCTCATATAAAAATGGCTATAACACTATCTGGTAAAAGTATACGTTGGGAAAAACTTTCTTAAAAAGGGGCATGCAGACCCTTCAGTGTTAATGGCTTACCCTAAAATTCATTTCTAAACAAACTTTCCTAATGAAAAAGATTAGAAACATAGACCAAGTGTTTTCTACAAGCAATATTTATATTTTTTGAAAAGATTTGAAAGTAGAAATATCTTAGGAAAATGATTAAATTCAGTGTGATCTCTTTATAACCTCAATATATAATATCAAGTTAAAAAGGAAGATATAAAGCAGTTTATATCATATTACAGAGTCCATGGGTTGTGCAAATTGTTTGCACTTGGCTCTTAAATGACAGATTGATGGTTCGAATCCACCTAGGGGCACTGTGGAAGGAGGCTCTGGTGGGCAATCTACCTTCCATAAAATTGTTGTTGTGTTGTTGTTATGTGCCATCTAGTCGGATCCGACTCATGGCGACCCCTCCTTGTGTTTCCGAGGCAGTGTCACTATGGAAGTAGATTGCCCAGCCTTCCTTCCAAGGAGTGGCTGGTGGGTTGAACCGCCAGCCTTTTGGTTAGCAGTCAAGTGCCTTAGGCACTATGGTACCACAGCTCCTGTTCCATAAGATTACAGCCATTGAAAACCCCATCGGGTACAGTTCTGCACATGAGATCATCATGAGTTGGAATTGACTTGACAGCAATAGATTTTGTTTGGCTTTGTTATGCTCATTTTATAGCACAGAGGTTTTTTATATTTATAGGAAATATATCAAATATTATTTTGTGGTTATTTGTGGGTTATGAGGTTACATATACATTTTATTTTCTTTATTCTTTTTAGTATTTCCCAATTTTCCTGTAATGAATATGGATTAGCTTCATAATTTTAAAAAATGTTTTCTGAAAAATGAAATAAAAATGAGTATATTTGCTCAGATGATTTAAAAAAAAAAAAAAAAAGAAATGGACGAGAAAGTGCTTTGTTCCAGAAATTTGGGCTGGGACTGTTTAGTACTTTAAGCGGACGTTTTATTGATAGACTAGGAAAGGTGTTACCGTGCATTTTGTTCTCCTGGAGTTGTGGTATGTCTCAACGAGTGTTTGAAGGAAGCCGTCACAATAGTTCATTCTTCTGTATTCACGCAAATCATGATCGTTCCATTTTTCTCTTCCTAGAAGGCTTTCCGTTTTTGTTTTTTTTTCTGTGATATGTGTGTGACTAAGGTCACTAAGGGTACAACTACACTCAGGAGAGGAAGGGAACCAGTTTAGGGAAACAGTTGGGCTTAATTTATCCACATAATCAAAGCTAAATCATGTAACGTTGAGGAGATAATTATTTTAATACATAATTATCCTTTTTACTCAGCACATGTTGAAAATAGGACCCCAGTATTCCTCAACAGAGAGTTAATTATCTCTCTTCCAAAGCTTGTTGATTAATCTCTATGTGCATGGGGGGGGCATGTATAGACCTTTACTATGTTAGCATGTGTGTATGAGGGCAGTGACAAGCCTCAGAGAACTGAGTGGGAGGAGAAAGAGCTGACCCTCTGGAGATCTGTCACCAAACCCAAGGGAAGCCTTTTCAACTACTTTGCCCTCCCCTTGGTGCACCCATGGCCACACAGGTAAAGGGTTCAGGTCTATAAATATGTCATTTGTGACTGGAAACCCTTGGGATAAAGCCACATACTTTTAGAGCAGGAATATCCTTATGGGTTCAGTTTCAATTTTACCTTCTCTTTTGTGCCAGTACCTTCACATGCATTTGGAATTCTTAAGCTGGCATGTGTTTACCCTGGTTTAGGTTTATGCTACATGAATCAGGAAGTTCTTGAAGCCTCAAGATCTGAAGATATATTGACCATGTTCATCAGTTGGCTTCATATAACTCCCTGGCACTTTGAATATTGCTTCATTCATTTATGATTAGCCATTAAAATTGCATTAGCACATGGAAGCAAGATTTCATCTAAAAACTTGATTTTTTTTTTGTGTGTGTGTGCATGTGTATAAACTAATCTGAAGGAGATTGCTTAACACTATTAACAGTTGAGACTTTAGGCAGGGCAAGTGTCAAGAATTGTAAATTGTCATTATCTAGAGAGGGAAATGTGTAGTGGGGCCAGTTCCAACCCAGAACCCTTACAGAAAAGAAAGTGACTTAGCATGAAAATTCTCTGTCTTGGAATTCAAATAATGTGTGGGATTTTATTATGCTCCAGGAATATCTAAAATGATAACTTCTCCCTAGAACTCCAGTTGCCTATATGCCACCCCATTTGGATGTCTAATAAGCGTCTTAAAATCAGCTTGTCCAAAATAAAACTCTCAATTATTCCGCTAGTTCACAAATCATCTCCTCCCCAAATTTTCTCCATCTTAGAAAATAGAGCTCTCCCCTACCCAGTGGTTTAAAAAAAGGTTCTAGGAGTTATCATTGATTTTTTTGCTTTCTTGTACTACACAGCCAATCCATCAGCATTTCTTGTTGCTTTTTCCTCCAAAAGCTCTGGTGGCAAAGTGCCTACCAGCCACTCCTTGGAAGGAAGAATGAGCAATCTACTTCTGTAGAGGTAACACCTCAGAAACCCAAGGAGGGGAGGATTCATTATGAGTCAGAACGACTTGACTGTGATGAGTTGTTTTTTTTTGTTGTTGTTGTTGTTGTTTACCTCCAAAATAAACCTTTGAATCTTTGACTTCTCTCAATCACTGTTACTTCCCTGTTGAAATCGCTATCATCCTTTTCCTGGACTATTGCAATGGTCCTCTAATTGATCTTGTTTCCTTATGATCTTTTTCTACTAAGAAGTAATAATCATGATTTTAAAATGTTAATCAGATTTGGCTATTCCCTGTTTAAAGTCATCCCTTGGTTTCCCACAGCAATTATAATAGTATCCCTACTTCTTTCCCTGGTTTACAAGTCCTTTGGTCCTAGCTACCTCTCTGATTTCAGTCCCTACCACCCTCTCCCTACCCACAACACTCCACACCCTCTCACTTTCTCTTCTTTGAGCAACCAACCCATCAACCTGAGGACCTTCCCTTTACCAGGGGTGGGTTTCCCTCATCTTCTCATGGCTGGCTCCTTACATTTCAAACAAGATGTTCTGATAATTGTTAACCCCATAGAAGTCTTTTCTGATCACCTGATTATATGGACACCCCCCCAACACTCTTTATCATATAATCCTTCTCACATTCTATTTAAATATCTGGATGGCACTTAAAACTATCTCTACGTCCAATCCCTACAGCTGATCCCTGCTGCTGAATATACTAAGAGGAGGGGTCTCATCTATTTTCACCATTGGTGCCTCTAAGGCCACAGAAGAGGTGCTCAGTAAATAAATGTTTGGTGTTGCATGAACCCCATTCTCAACTGTTTTTCATATGCTTATAGAATCCAGTTTTCTCTCAACTTGGCAACTAAATGATTATTTCTACTCATTCTGTTTTTACAGCAGACTGGGCTTTATGAATATAAAGTCTTTGGTGTCCTGGAGGATTGTCCACCAGCTCTGCTTGCAGATGTCTATATGGACTTAGACTACAGAAAACAGTGGGACCAGTACGTTAAAGGTAAGTGATCGGTGTTGTGTGCCATCTAATCAATTCCGAGTCATAGTGACACTATATGACAGAATAGAAAGACCACACAGGGTTCCCTAGGCTGCAGTCTTTATAGGAGCAGATTGCTAGGTCTTCTCTCCCACAGAGCTACTAGTGGATTTGAATGGACAAGCATTTGGTCAGCAGCCAAGCACTTAACCACTGCACTACCAAGGCTCTTAAGGGTAAGTGATACCTACCTTTCTTTTTTGTTTGTTTAAATCAATTAAATATAGAATCCTTTCTTATTTATTATAGCCAATGCAAAGGAGCAGGTTTAATATCTATTCTAGTTATTTCATTTTTAATTTATGTCATAAAAATCTTAGATGCTAAGCTGCAATGTACCTTTGTGATTTCTAGGACTTTCTCCTGGCCTATTTTCAGATCTGCTCTCTAGTTTGCTTTGAAGGTGACTTTGCTCTCACTATTAAATTGTCTTACCGTCCTGTATACCTAGGTGGACATGGAAGGCTTCTTGGGGGAGGTGGTGTCTAAACTTTGTTTTGAAAGTTCACTCCAAGTTTTCCAAAGAGACAAGAATGCATGTGAGGGCATGAGAGGGTGTGGGGGTGAGTGGTTTAAGGGCATTCCAGACTAAGGGAACAGCATGAGAAGTCAGAAAAGAAACTACGAATGGTTTGGTGTTGATGAGTTGGTAAGAGTAGCAGAATACAGAGCCAGGGCAGGAGAAGGGTCCAGATCTCCGAAAGTCTGGCATGGGCACAAGACTTCAGGTTCTAGATTTTGCCCTGTAAGTTATGGGGAGTTATGAAGGCATTGAGTAGGGGACCTTCTTGCAGCTGAGAGCAGAGAGTGGCCTCTGCCATTTTAGTGTCAGTGGGAAAGAATGATGGAGCTAGCAGAGGGGCACATAGGCTCTGATAGGCCCTTGCTTTAGCCAAGATTCTTGGTTACCACTCAGGAAAGGATCAAATCTGGAGATCCTGGATAGAGTGGGAGGGAAAACGTGGAATAAAATCCCAAAACTCAATAATGACCAGAATTACAGGTCAGATGAAATCTAGTGAGACACCCAATACTATGGCCCTAGAATACATTCTGAGCCTGGAATAAAACTCACCCCCAGGGGAGGACTCTCAGCCCAATAGTTAACAAGATGTACATGTGGACCACTAGACCCAGGATGACGTACCCACATACTCTACGGTAATACATCCCTTAGAGCAATAGACCATGGGACACCAGAGGACCAACATTCAAATTGAAGAAATGAAGGGCAAACAGGAGCGCATAAATATGAGGGGCACAGGGTAGGGAGGGGAGGAGCCTGGGTTAGGGTTGGACATGGCGAATGGGGAATGAAACTAAATGTATGCATTACATTGAATGTAAAACAAGCTCTTAAAATAAAAAAAAGTAAAAAAGAAAGAAATCAATCCAAATAGAAAAAAAAAAATGTATTCTTGGTTACAAGTTAAAAAAAAAAAAAAAAGCTAACTGATTTTATTGGTTAACAACATTGAAAAGTCCATGGGTTTCTCCTGCCTGGACAGCTGCATCTGAAACTTTCTTTTTCTCCTCTTGATTCTGTTTTCATCTGTGTGACTTAATTCTCTAGCAGATCCTTATGCTACAGCAAAGTTGAAACCAGATGACCCAGACTTACAGTCTACTATTTAAATAACTCCAGGGGAAGGAGAATCATACTTTCCCAGTGTTTGTATCCCAAGTCCTGGGATTAACTCCCATTGACTCAGTCTGGATCACATGCGATTTCTATTGGATATTTGTCATAGTTTTTGGTTACTTTTGGTTGTTATGTTGTTAGTTGCCATTGAGTCAGCCTCTGACTCGTGGCAACCCCATGCACGCTGGAGCTGCCCCATCTTGTGCCATTCCCATGATTGGTGGCAAATCAGACCCTTGTGATCCATAGGATTTTCATTGGTTGATTTTCAGAAGTAGATTGCCAGGCCTTTCACCCTAGTCTCTTGAGCTCTGTTGAAACTTGCTCAGCACTGCAACATGCAAGCCTCCATGACCGATGGGTGGTGGCTGCACATGAGATCCTTCGGCAGAGCATTGAACCAGAGTCTCCCTCATGGAAGGCGAGAATTCTACCCCTGAACCACCACTGCTTCTTTGGCTTCTTAGTGTTTTTTTCAAAGGTTTATTCTTCATACTTAGGGAGAATTGTGAGGCTTATCTCTGACCTTCGCTCCTTCAGGTTCCCTTGCAACCATGGTGCACCGTGTGATATAGACTCTGCCAAAAAGATGCACATGCAGCTTCAGTTTGGAAAAGAGCAATATGAGGAAGCAGGCAGCATACAAAATCCATTTCCTGGTTATAGCCGTGGCCAAGGCATCTGGCTTTGGGGGAAACAGTTGCTGAGCCTCTAGTGTTTGGTGACTAGCATCAGCAGTTCATGATGTCTGAGTCCTAGGACAGCAGCTGATTGTCCTTGCTGGAAGTCCTGCATTTCTAAACCTCACTCTGGCCCTGCTGGGATTCTGTGAGCTACCTGAGAGCCTTTACTACATCACTCTGCAGCATAAACTTGGCCAGAGTGACAAACTGAGACCCTGGCCCGATGCACCTTCTCTGAACTAATCACTGTGGCTGTTGGGCCCATTTTCCCAGCTCTGAAATTCAAACAGCATCAGTCAACCTGAGCCACATAGTCAATAAGTCCAGAAGGGTGATTGACTGAAGAAACTGGAGATGCTGGTGTTAGAAGGGGGAGTCAGTGTTGAGCAGACAGATTACAGATGTCCACTGCTTCCTTCCTTTCAAGGGCTGTCTTCAGCCTCCTGGAACACCAGTGAGCTAGCAAGCTCTTTAATCGACAGTCTGCTTCTAACAGATTTTCTTTTAAATGCTAAATTCAATAATGTATTGCCCCCTTCAACATCTTCTGGAGGGGCTCCCTTGGTTACGTCAGCAGCCTGGGCTGCTGAACCTCTCAAATGGTTAGAGCCAAGCTTACTATCAGCTTGAGGCAAAGCCTGGGGGTGGAGATATGGTAGTTACTAAATTCCTTTGATATCTTTTCTTGATTGTGCAGTGGTTAAGCACTTGGCTGCTAACAGAAGGATCAGTGGTTCAAACCCACCAGTCACTCTGGGGGAGAAAGATGTGGTAAGCAGCTATATCTGTAATGATTTGTAGAGTTAGAAACCATATGGAGCAGTTCAGCTCTATCCTACAGGGTTGCCAAGAGTCAAAATCAACTTGATGACAGGGGGTTTGGTGTTTTGGATCTCTCCCTAAGAGTTTGCTGCTCCGGGCACACAAGAGCAACATGCAGCTTTAAGGAAATTTGGACCCTGGGTAAGAAGCGGGAGTTCCTAGGTGTCACAAACACTTGGGTACTAAGAAAAGATTTGCAGTTTCAGTCCACCAGAGCCATCTCGGAAGAAAGCCCTGTCAGTCTGCTTCCAAAAGTTCCCAGCCATGAAGACCTCATGGAACACAATTCTCTGAAGCACAGGGGTTACTATGAGTCAGAATGTACCCAACAGAAACTGGTAGTTGAGGAAGAGTGTAAAGAAATGTAGGAGCAAATCAAGAAACTTTGTTTAGCCACAGCTCTGCCACTTTCTAGCTTTTTAGGAAGTTCATTGCCCCCTTAGGAACCTGCATCTCACACCTAAAGGTGCTGGACTGGTTGACCCACTAAAGTCCCAGCCTGGCTGTTCTGAGTCCAGAAATCCAAAAGAGGAAGGAAGTCTTGAAAGCGAAACTCTTGATACTCTAGTGACATCTGGTGGTAACCTTAATTTAAAAACTTGTGAAAATTTCTCTTTTGAGGTCTGATTTTTTCATTGCATTCTGTCTGAAAATTTTTTTTGTGATATAAGATGGACAGGTGTTGCTGATCTGCCCCCCTATGTTTTTCTATCCACTTGACTCTATTCCTAGGTAACAAGCTTTTGAGAAGGTAATGAGTTGGCCCAACTTTTTCTAGAATTTTATGCCTATGAGCTAGTGGTTTAAAATACCATGCAAGTTCATCATAACTATGCTGCTTGTTAAAGAGCTCTGGTGGCACAGTGGTTAAGGCATTTGGCTGCTAACCAAAATGATTGGTGAACTTACCAGCTGCTCTACAGGATAAAGATGAGGCAGTCTGCTTCTTAAAGATTTACAGCCTTGGAAATGGTGTGGGGGAGTTCTATTCTGTCCTGTAGGGTTGCTATGAGTCAGAATGGACATGAGGGCAGTGGGGTGGGTAAGCTGCTTGTTAATTGAAGCCAAAGAGATTTATAGGTGCATTAATACCTTTTGTTCTCCTTTAGAACTCTATGAGAAAGAATGCAACGGAGAGAAAGTGGTCTACTGGGAAGTGAAGTACCCTTTTCCCATGTCCAACAGAGATGTATCCTTTCAATAGGCACACCATTCCTGGATTGCTTAAGAGTTTCTGTATACCTCAGCCATCATTGAATTCAAGGTGGTAGAACTAATGTTCTAGCACGTGCAGGCAACATTGTCTTTGATTCTTGCAGAAGGATATACTAAAGCTGTTACTGCTTATGCGGCTTTTGGAAACTTTGGCATATGATTCACATGGAACATCTGTGATTGTGGTCACTGGGCTTGACATTCTGAGCCACAAAATTTGGGACCTGGATGAAACGTCAAAGAGTGCTTCGTACAGCTCCCTCAGTCTACAGGGGAAGAAGTGGAGACCCAGAGAGGTGAAATAACAGAGGTATCTAAATGGCTGGTGGCAGAGCAGGGTCCAGAACTCAGGCTTCTGCAAATCTAGCTCTCTCTATCCCCTACCCCATTTTAATTGACCCTCTAGTGATCCCTCCTTGATTGTTGTCTCTGGAGACTGGAGTGTTAAGTGATGTCTGTCAGATGAGCTGTGTAAGTTGTGGGACAGAGTGGGTAAAAAATTTCTGCTAAGAAGATGCAGGAGGTTTGACAGAGAGGAAAGCCAGAGCTAACACAGCAGCATCTCTTCCTGGACATATTTAAGGACTTAAACCAAAAAAACCAAACTCACTGGTTTCAAGTTGATTTGACTCATAGCAACCCCTCCTTGGGTTTCCGAGGTGGTATCTTTACGGAAGTAGATTGGCCAATTGTCCTTCTGAGGAGTGGCTGGTGGGTTTGAACCACTAGCCTTCTGGTTATCAGTGAAATGCCTTAGGCAGTACAGCACCAGAGCTCCCTTTAAAGACTTACGCCATGAGTATCCAGGAGAGTGGGGACAGTAGACAGGCCAGTGTCCATGCAGCCCTGGAGGTGCCACAGTGAGGGCTTGGACAACTGTGGGTGCTATAGGGACACTGAGGTGGCATGGGGCTGTGATTGTAACTATGTTAAAGTAAATGTAATTGTGTCATATTTAGAGTGACTGTTTTAGATTTTTAATTCCTTCTAGTAAGCCACTCAAAATTCTATTATTTGAAAGAGTAATGAACACATTAAAGAGCCCTAGTAGTACAATAATAAGTGCTTGGCTGTTAACCAAAAGTTTGGCCATTCAAATCTACCCGGGGTACTGTGAGAGAATGACCTGGCTCTCTGACCCCATAAAGATTACAGCCTGGAAGACCCAGTGAGACAATTCTACTCTACTTTGTTACATGAGGTCACTGAGTTGGAATCAACTTGATGGCACCTAACTTGGTGAACACATGAAAGAATTGAGCTGTGGAATTCTAGCTAGACTTTAGAGCTGGATCTCACTTCAGGTTCAGGCGCCGTCACTAGAATTGGGCTGTGGCATCTTGGGCAAGTTTTTTACACTTTTCTGAGCCTCAATTTTGTCATCTGTAACATGAGGGTACTTAACACTGACCTGACAGGGGTGTTTGTAAGGGTCAAAATTGATCCTTTAAGTAGAGCACACATGTTTATTACAGTCAGGCTGAATAAGTAGTGACTCTTACTGTTTCTTAGGATTTAATTTATCTTCCCTAGACATAGTGGAGGAGTGCTGGTGGCATAGTGCCAAAGGCACTCACTTGACTGCTAACCAGAAGGCTGGCGGTTCAAACCCACCAGCCACTCCTTGGCAGGAGGGTTGGGCAATCTACTTCCGTAGTGATGCTGCCTCGGAAACGCAAGGAGAGGTCACTATGAATCGGTCCAACTCGATGGCACATAACAACAAAGACATAGTGGTAAGGAGGTCTGGTGGTGTACTGGTTAAGGCATTTGGGTGCTAACCAAAAGGTCAGTAGTTCAAACCCAACAGCTGCTCCATGGAAGAAAAATAAAGGCAGTCTGCTTCCACAAAGGTTTACAGCCTTGGAAACCCACTGGAGATCACTATGAGTCAGAATCTACTCAGTGGCAATGAGTTTGGTTTGGTTTGGTTTAGACACAGTGGGGTTCTATGAATGTTTATCAAGATGAAATGTCTTTTTTTTTCTTGGTGAACCACTGTTAACTCAGGACATCTGCCTACTAAATATACAAGTATTCATGTGTCCTCTTATGACTATGAGTTATAACATTGATTGACCATCTTTTATATGTAGAGGCAAGTAATGAGACCTTTGGGATGAGGACAAGACAAAGACAAATGGCACCACCATTTATCTAGTGCTTATTCTGTTCTAGCCATTGTCTCCAATGACCCCAACAAGCCTGTATGGCAGGTAGTGTTACTTCTATTTCCTGGATAGGGAAACTGAGCCTCACAAAGGTTGAGTAAGTTAGCCAGGATCACACAGCTGATGAGTGATCAGTCTTCTGCCACCTCACAGTGTCTACTTAGAGAAAAGAGGACTGGTTCCTCTGCTAACTAAAAGCACCAAGGAACCATTCACAGGTAGGTAACCATACCCTCCAAAGAACACTCTAGTTGCTATGAGACACAATCTTACAGTGCAAGTAGGGAGACAGGGCAGATGAGTGAAGTAACAGTACCAGGGAGCAGCTGCCAGATGGGAGGTACAGAATCTCCTTCCTTTGCTTTAGATTTATGGGGCTTTCTTTGCACATCTGAAATGTCATACCTTGACTTGTGGTGCAGTACGTCTACCTCCGGCAGTGGCAGGAGGTGGAGGTGGAAGGACAGAAGGTCCACGTGATCCTGGCCCAGAGCACCTCTGTGCCTCAGTTTGCTGAGAAACCAGGCGTGATCCGCGTGAAGCAGTACAAGCAGAGCCTGGCGATTAAGAGTGATGGCAAGAAGGGGAGCAAAGGTAAAGCCCAGGGGGCATCTCGGTGCACCCAGCCTGTGCCACACCCATGAAGAGCAGGCTGACTGGGAGGTATAAAATGCCCCAAGGCTTAAGGGAGACCCTTGGAGGTCAGAGAATGGCATGGGTGCAAAACAGGCAAGGGATCAACACCTTGGGAGGAACTGAACTTGACCAGAGTGCGAGGTGGGTGTTTAAATCTGGCTCAACACATTCTTTATTGACTCTTGCGTTGTCGAGGTGAAATCCGAATTTCATAAGCAAACTAGAGGGTTTAGAAATTCATTTCAGGCTAATCCTAGGATGGACTGGGCTGGTAGTTCTGCCTCAAGGAAGGCAGCTCCCACTCAGCATATCATGCTTGCCTTGAGTTCCAGCTCCTGAGGGCTCAAGGGCCATGGGCAGAGAGTAGGGCTTGAGGCCACCTGCTACACGTAAAGGCACAAGGCCTGGGGTCTTAGGTAAAATGTGAACCTAGTTCTGATGCTGCTTAGATCTATCACCTTGGCCATGCCACCTAGCTTTACTGAGGCTCACTTTCATCATTTATAAAATGGAGTTAAGTTTACCACCTTCTTATGGTTGTTAGGAAAATTATAAATGAGGTTCTATCTAAGTGTCTAGTGCCAGGTGTTTAATAAATTGTAGCATAATGTAGCTGTGCATTCAAAAACGTTTACTCATAAATATGCTATGAGTTAGAGGAGAAAAGTCTACCCGAATTATGTCCTACCTCCCTCCATACTTTCTGGGTGCAAATATGAAGATTCAAAGTTTTCAGGGTTTTGTTGCTATAGTTTTCAAACATTTTTTTTTCCTCCTTCTGAATTGTCCTTTCTTTCCCCCTCTAGTTTTCATGTATTACTTTGATAACCCGGGTGGCCAAATTCCGTCCTGGCTCATTAACTGGGCCGCCAAGGTGAGATCCCAAGAGACAGCAGGGGGAGGAGAGGGGCTGACAAATGTTGACTTAGCCCATGGAGCTGTCAAGCTGAAGAGACACTTTGTCTCAGGCGGAATGAGGCTCTTTTATGAAGTGGCTTGGTTGAGTGACTGCAGTTGGAGCTGAGGTTGCCAACACCAAAGACCGAGGCTGGGACAAGTGACAAAGAATTCTTAGCTTGGAATGCCAGCCCCTCCCTGCTAGCGTCCCGAGACTCCTCCAAGGATCACTCCTTGGAACCTCTGGATAATATGTCTGCTCTTCATAGAACAATAGTGCCTTTGGACCCTGTGTCTGCTTATGGAGGAGAAAGACAGACTGACCTTGCTCAGGAGACAGTCAGACATGTGTTCAAGCCTGGGGGAGGCATCAGGTTTTTTTTTTTGTTGTTAATTTTTTCCAGTAAGGTAAGGAAACTGGCCTGGTAGGCTGAATCATAGAGACTGCCTAAGAACCTGGCATTGTGGGCTCATTTGCTCCCTGGGTGGTGCAAACAGTTTTTACTTGCCCACTAACCTAAAAGTTGATGGTTCCAATCCACACAGCAGTACCATAGAAGAAAGGCCTATAATTTGTTCCCATAAAGATTACAACCCAAAAAACGCTATGGAACACTTCTACTCTATAGCACATGGGGCCACCATGATTCAAAATTGACTTGATGTCAACAGGTTTGGGTTTTGTTTCATTTTTATATAAGTCTCTAGGTGATGTCAATGGTTAACACACTTGGCTGCTGAGAGATTGGAGGCAGAGCTAACTGAGAGATTGGAGATTTGAGTCCATCAGAGATGCCTCTGGGCCTGGTGATCTATTCCAAAAGATCAGCTATTGAAAACCCTATGAGCACAGTTCTGTTGACACACATTGTGTTGCCACGAGTTGGAGTTAATGCTTTGGCAACTGGTACCACTATATGTCCTATCTACTGGCTGTAGGATGCAGCAGATTCCTTGGGGAGTGAAAAGCATGTAAGCTTTGGAGTCCATCTGATGTGATTTCAAATCCTGGCTGTGCTTTTAGCTGTCTGTGTAATCTAGACCAAAAAAAAAAAAAAACAAAGAAAAAAACACCTCACTGTCATTGAGTTGATTCTGACTGATAGAGATCCCTATTGGGTTTCCAAGGCAGTAAATCTTTATGGAAGTAGATTGCCCCATCTTCCGTCCATGGAGCAGCTGGTGGGTTTGAACCGTCAGCCTTCTGGTTAGCAGTCATGTGCCTTAGGCATTATGCCACCAGGACTCTTTGTGTAATCTAGGGAAGCCATTTAATTTTTACCTTTTTTAAAACAGGAATGGGTATTACCAATCCCATACAGCAGGAGTATATAAGACAGTGCTTAGAAAAAGTATTGCATAATACCCTACACTAAATAATAATATAACCTACACTCTTCCTCCCCAATCCTTATCATTTTCTAAAGTCTATGAAACAAGTCCTTTCTACCGTTTCTTTAGAAGAATTTAACAACCCAGATCAATCCCATTTCCTGGATTTTCCTTTTCTTTTCAAGACATGGTGTCTCAGAAGTTTCTTAGCTTTTTACTAGCAAGAGCCAAAATATAAGTCAGTGCCTTGAAACAGTGGTCCATGCTACCTAGTCTCACCTAAGCCCTGCTTTTTGTCATTTGTTACCCATGACAGCATTCTTTTGAAATAGAGTCAGGTGGCATCTTGTCTTCCATCATCCCCAAAGCCCTCTTTGTTTGCCTCTTGCTTCATGTGAAGAAGTCATGAGTGAGCAGCTGTGAGGATAGACCAATAACAGAATTTCTTGTCCTTTGCAGAATGGAGTTCCTAACTTCTTGAAGGACATGGCAAAAGCCTGCCATAGCTACCTCAAGAAAACCTAAGACAAGAAATGGGGGACCATGTGTCCGAAGAACAATGTCTCTGGAAGTGCCACAACCCACTGAAATTCAGCTTTCCTTTTGTCTTCAGAGGACCGCATGTGCTACAGCGTGTCATCCCTGAACGTATTTGTCTGAGAGTGGGCAGGCGCCTGGCTTGCTGGTGGTTTCCTTTCCCACTCTCCCCTCCCCAGGACCACTATTGAATATGAGTAGGATTAGGGAAACCTTTGCTTATTTATTTTTAAAAAGGGAAGTCCTCAACAGAAAACACAGTCATTCCATTGTACCATTTCTTTGTGGATGGATGGGTGGAGGATGGGCAACAAAATGCAAGAATGACCACTAGGTAAGCAGGCTCCTTCCCAGAATGTGATTTCTTGCAACCCCAAAGGGGCTGCTGGAAGTTGCGTTCCATTCAGAGCTGGCGTTCAGTGCCCTAGAGCTAGAGGACGCAGGCTGATGTCCATTTGCATTATGCTTTGTTGATTAGATTAGGCTGGGATTTGAGGTGCTGATCCACCCACCAATATCTATTCTTACTTGTTCATATTCAAGTTTCAAACCATTTTGAAACACATTGCAGCTGTTGAAAACCCTATTTCTACTGATGCACATTGGGTTGCCGGAGTTAATGCCTTGGCAACTGTTGTTGTTATGTACTGTTGAGTCAGACCTGACTCATAGCAACCCTCCTTGGGTTTCCAAGGCAGTATCATTACAGAAGTAGATTGCCCAACCTTCCTTCTGAGGAGTGGCTGGTGGGTTTGAACCACCAGCCTTTTGGTTAGCCGTCCAACTGCCTTAGGTACTATGCTACCAGAGCTCCCCTCGGCAACTGGTACCACTATATATCCTATCTACTGGCTGTAGGATGCAGCAGATTCCTTGGGGAGTGAAAAACATGTAAGCTTTGGAGTCCAACTGATGTGATTTTGAATCCTGGCTGTACTTTTAGCTGTCTATGTAATCTAGACCCCCCCCCCCCAAAAAAAAACCCACTGCCATTGGGGTAATTATGTGATAACCATTTTTCCCTTATCACCTGTATCTGAGTTTTTCTCTTTCCCATGTGCCACTGGGTAAAGCCTGCTCATACATCTCTAGCTCTGCACTGAGACATTGAGGTGGTTCTGGAAGCCAGCAAAAGCTAGCAAAACATACTTTGCACATAACATCACTATGAAGTGGCTTTCCATGCAATAAGATGAATTTGCCTTCTAGAATGTTTGGACATGTTGAAGTCCAATAGTTCACAACCAGGGAAAATTTAAGTAGTGGCTTGGTTGACTCTGCACCTTTTTTCTCAGGAAATCTACCTTAATAGCCTTGCCTCTGACACCACTTAAAGGCCTATCAGTTTCCTATATTTTCTCCTGTATTTTGTTAGGGAAGATACTGTTTGGCCAAAGGCACAACATTGATGATCTCAGGGAAAATTTTTAACCAGTCTGTGAAGGTAACAAACCTCAATTGATGGGCATAGAAACTCAAGACATAAAGCTGGAAGGAGGGCCTTTATTATACTGGGATACCTCAGACTGTATGTCTTCTCTCTGGGAAGGAAAATGTATTCCATACAGAATAAATACAGAGTGGCTTGAACTTGTTGGGTGTGCAGCTTCCTACTTAACCTTGTTCCTTTTGTGAGAATGAATCAGTTAAGGTCTCTTTTGTTTGCAAGTGATATCCAACCTAACTCAAGCAAAAAAAAAAAAAACGAACAAAAACAACTCACTGCTGTCGAGGTGGATCCGACTCATCGCAACCCCTCCTTGGGTTTACAAGGCAGTATCACTACGGAAGTAGATCATCCAGTCTTCCTTCCGAGGAATAGCTGATGGGTTTGAACTGCCAGTCTTCTGGTTAACAGTCAAATGCCTTAGACACTACGCCACCAGAGCTCACATACATGGAATGTGAAGTATAGTGTGCCCTCAGATAGGGGACCGATGGATGCTTAAACAATGGCATTAGATTCATTTCTGTTGTTCTTCAAGTTATCTTTGATCTTGGTCTGCATTTGATGGCAGGATTGCCGCTCACAGCAGTAGGTCACTCTTATATCTTCCCAGACTCGTACCAAACACAGAAAGACATCATTTTCTTCCAGAAGTTCCTGCACCATCCTATAATTTTCTGTGCCTATCTCTGTGCCAGTCATTGCAGTCTTTATGGATGTTGTTGTTGTTGTTACATGCTGTCGAGTCAGACCTGACTCATAGCAACTCCTCCTTGGGTTTCTGAGGCAGTATCACTACGGAAGTAGATTGCTCAACCTTCCTTCCGACGAGTGGCTGGTGAGTTTGAACCGCCAGCTTTCTGGTTAGCAGTCAAGTGCTTAGGCACTACGCTACCAGAGCTTCTTGTCTTTATGGGTAGGATTATGCAAATAAATAAATACCTCATTAAAGTATCATCTTAATATAGCTGGAATTTACTTTTACATTAAATCTAAATGCCTCCTCCTATAGAGGTCAAACTGAAATTTTATGTATAGACTCTTTTTCTGCACCACAAACACTGAAAGAGATTCTTTGAACCAAAAATCAACGTGAAATAGTGGCATGCAGATCATATCTCTAAACCAAAAGCAAAAAACCAAACCTATTGCCATCAAGTCAATTCTGACTATGACTGTTTTGGTTCTCTAGCTGCTCTAACAGAAAATACCACAAATATATGGTTTGACCAATAGGAGTTTATTCTCTTAGATTTCAGGAGGCTGGAAGTCCGAGTTCAAAGCCAACTCTAGGGAACCTTGGGCTTTACCTCTTGCTCCCAGCCCACAGGACCTGGAGGTGTCTCTTAATTCAAGCAACTGCTGGCTGCTGAGGCTGACAAACCCAAGATCAGCAAGTAAAATGGCACAGTCCCAAGATTAGCCAGCAACATGGCAGGCCACTAGTTTAAGTCCAGAAACAGTTGCAGGATCAGCAGGCAACATGGCAAACTGCTGAATGAAGACTCAGCTACATACAAGGTCCAAGTGTGCCAAAAAGCTAGAGAGATTTTTCAAAGCGTCTTCTTATATCCTGGAAGCAGGCCACATCCCTAAGGCAGCTACTCAGCTACTGACAGTAGAGTCCACCATGAAGTTGTTAACCAGTCTCATCATGGGGAATAACTGCAACCAGCTGCCCAGCCACTCAAAACAAGGCCCAGCCAAGTTGACACATAACCCTAAGTATCACAGCAACTCTATAGGACAGAGTAGAACTGCCCATAAGGTTTCTAAGACTGCAAAGCCTTACAGAAGCAGACTGCCTCATTTTTCTCCTGCGAAGTGGCTGGTGGTTCCTTTTAGTTTGTAGCCAAATGTTTTAACCATTGTACCACCAGAGGTCCTGTTGTTGTTGTTGTTATGAGCCACCCAACTCATAGCGACCCCTCCTTGGATTTTCAAGGTGGTATCACTATGGAAGTAGATCTCCCAACTTTCCTTCTGAGGAGTAGCTGGTGGGTTTGAACCGCCAGCCTTCTGGTTAGCAGTCAAGTGCCTTAGGCACTACACTACCCGAGCTCCTAGAACTCCTGTAATGTTAGCTAAAACCAAGAAAATCCAGACTCTCTGCCATGGAGTCAAATCCTACTCATAGTGACCCCTCCTTGGGTTTCCGAGGTAGTATCACTACGGAAGTAGATTGCCCAACCTTCCTTCATGGGGAAGTAAGTGATTTAGAGAAGATTGACCAAATGACATTAATCTAGAAGACTTAACCATTCCAGTTATGGAGACTCATTTCTCAACAATTCAAACCAGATGACTCACCCAAGCTATGTTTCTGGGATTCTAGATTTCCCAGATTCCCATTGGCCCTTCCCTCTCTTTGTGAAAGGTAGCTTTGCTGGTGTGGCTGTGGGTTATATTTTAATGTTATAGAACTGGTGCAGTCTGGACAGGATCCAGCTGAGATTAGTCAGGATTTCAGTTGAAATATAATGGCAAAAGTAGCACTAATGTCTCTGCTAATTTTTTTCCACAGGCGAATTATTCACACTGCATAACAATTGAAAGTTAATGGCTACCTTGGAACTCAGGAGTCTCAGCAGAGGGTCATTTCCCTTGTAAATGTTCCTATTTCACGAGAGTCCTGGCATGCCTCCCTGGCTGGGATTCCTCGCCCGGAGTCCCTGTCTATGATGCCTGCCCTTCAAACCTTCTGCTTCCCAGTTGGATTTGGAAGAGACAAAGCAGGAAGAGCCCATTTGGTTCTCACATTTCTGATAACACCACCCAGTTGGCTCAGGGAGTTATCGTTCAAAGCACTGGGGTGTCTGGTGTCCATCCGGCAAGGTGCTAGCACAGTGGTTCCTGGGATGAATGAGACAGACCTATCCTTGCCCTCCAGGAGCTTATGGTCTGGTGAAGGAGACAGTGAACAAGCCTTTGAAAGGGTGATGAATGCGAAGAAAGGGCAAGTACAGGGGATTTTAGACTGTAGACTTGGGCACTAACCAAGTTTGAGGAATCAGAGATAGAACCAACAAGACAGGAAGGCTTTAGAAAAATTATTTTTATTGTTAGTCATTGATGGGGCAATCTACTTCCATAGTGATACTGCCTCGGAAACCCAAGGAGGGGTTGCTATGAGTTGGGGCCTACTCGACGGCACATAACAACAATAACAACAACATGTACTCCGAGGAGTCCTTGGATAGCACAAATGGTTAAGCACTCAGCTACTAACTGAAAGGTCGGTGGTTCAGGTTCACCCAGAAGCACCTTGGAAGAAAACTCTGAAGATGTACTTCCGCAAGATAAACCATGGTATGCAGTTCTACCCTAAAACTCATGGGGTCTCTGTGAGTTGGAATAGAATTGATAGCAACTTTTTTTTCTTTTAAAGGAGGTCTGGTAGCCTAGTGGATAAAGCATTTGGCTGCTAATCAGAATGTCAGCAGTTCAAACCCACCAGCTGCTCTGCAGAAGGAAGATGGGACCATCTACTTCCATAAAGATTTAGTTTCAGACCCAAAGGGGTCACTATGAGTCTGAATTA